GACCCAGTTTGGAAGAAGAGGTGTTTGGAAAACGTGCCGTCACCCCCTCTCTCCAGTCTAAGGCAGCACACTTGACAGTTTGCACACAGTCCTGAGCGACGGCCGCATCTGTGCCCGGCCCCCCACCGGGAGCGCAGACTACACCGTCGGGCACGGGTGCGCAGTGTTTCCCCACAGAGGAATTCACAAGCAACCCATGGAATTAGAACCAAGAAACCACAAAGACCAAAAAGGAAAACAAAACTGTTCTTCAATTATTTTAAACACGAAACAAGAACATTTCTTAGGACTTATTTTACGATACGAAGTCATTTACTTTATTTCAAAACTCTGCGTGGAGGTTTCTGGAGGTCGTGTTAATTACTCCCTGGCCATGCCACAGTGAGCTACGTGGTCAAGCCACGGCCACAGCGTGTCAGCCACGCTAGGGCTGGCCGGAGGCGCGCACCCCAGAGCCCGCAGCGTGGCCTGGCTGAGAGGAGCCGGCCCGGGCCGCGCCCTCTGCGCTGCTGCGGCAGGGACTGGCCCCAGGGTCTCCTCACAGGGCCCGAGCAAGGAAGAGGCAGTTTGAGAAACAGAGCCAGAACCCGCAGATCCCTCCTACCCGGGCGGAAGTGCTTGATGCGGTCACAGTCGCAGGCAGTCCAGAGCAAACCAACCGCAAGTTAAAGAGAGCAAAGGAAGAAGTAAGATGGATGGCAAGAGCCTGTCTGAATTCTGGCTTCTTCATGATGGAACATTCTGGGGAAATAAAGTGCTTCAGGAAGTCGAAGAAACACGTGGGCCTGCTCCCGGCTGCTGGACCCCTCACGTGTCTGAAAGACAGCCTGACTTCTCCTTACTAAGGTGCATTCACTTCGGTTTCTCCAGGAAGCTGAGCTCAACGGTGGGCTTCCGTCCCCCAGTTCACCTCCTCCCCCCACATCTCTGGGCGGACGTGGCCACAAAGCCCCTGCAGGAGGCTCCGGTAGGACGCAGTGGGGCGAGTCCAGGACCCGCTGACGCCAAACGGTCCCGCAACTTCCCATCCCAAGTTTCCCAACAGATAACATAACTGTGCCTTTCCTTGAAATGAGAAAAGTATAATTTCCCCATCTCCGTTGTAACCCTTCCCTAAAAAAGATTTTAAAAATGTTCACACGAAGCCACTCACAATTCATGAAAGGTGTATTGATAAAAAGAAAACCGTGCAAAGTTGCATACACCTCCACGTTTGACACCCTCACTAGCGTGACCCAGACAACCGCACCGCAGCCTGGCGGGGCGCTGGCACAGGCTGCCCGGCTGCAGGGAGGCTCTCACAGCGCTCGGCAGGAGCACTCTGCCCGGCGGCACGCAGACGACACGTAGTCAACCAGGTAACTTCTCAGGAATCCAGCAAATCTAGCAAATAAACTGCTACTTTAAGTGAAAATACACTAAAACCACAATTTCAACAGATACGCTGTCATTGAAAAGGAATTTGGAGACTGCAGCTACATGTAAAGGACACACGGTAAATTTGTTAGGAGACCCTCCCTGCGCAGCCCCCCGGTCTGTTCAGCTCCAACACTTCCCTTCTCTGAGGCTGACAAACCAGGCAGTGTTCCCCCTGCCCTCAACCATCCCAGGGCCGGGTTCCAGGCAACCAGACTCCCCATAGCCCAGAGCCCACGGGAATAACACACCAGCCCACCCTGAACCACCGCCCCTGCCCGGCCCAGCCTTTCCCGCGGAGACCCCACTGAAGGTCTGGCCGCGGCCTTCGCTGCTGCCTGCCTCCTGACGGACGCTGGTGCCCCACGTGGCTGTGTAGCGGGAAGGGCCCCTCCTCTAGGAAACATAAGTAACAAAAGTCTCCTTTCAGTGGCGCAGGCCTCTATGTCGTCACTTGGTCACCTCCGTAAGTGACAGTCCCATGGGCACAGAGCGGGCAGCAGAACCGTTCTCGAGACTTCCCGGGTCCAACCACACCACACCTGCCGGGTTCCTTCCAGCCAAGAGGCGCACGACAGTCTACAGAACACAGAGGCACGCTGGTGTCCCGACTACGACATTGTACAATCCTGTCTGATACTTGCTCTACTTTCATACAAAAACTCACACAAAATTAGATAAAACGGCAGTTACATGTATTTGCCTTCAGCTCACAAAGGGATCATTTGTTTTTTTTCCTTCATCGAACAACACAACCCAATGCACAGCAAATCTCCCTAACATCAAAGACACATATCTTTTGCTCTCTTGAAAGCAGAGTAATTTAGACTCTCCCAGCACGACGCAGCGAAGGCCGCCCTGATTGCGGCCAGGACCGCGGAGGGGCCCGGGGCCGGCTCTGCTGCTGCGTACTAATTTAGCTTAGAGTCCGAGTGACGTCCTGGCACCGCATCTGCCACTTCCTTCCTCCTCCTTTTCTCTTCCCATTTCTTCCTTCCACCGTTAGGGTTATTAAGAGAAACATAAAGACAGAACTCCTGATTCATAAGACCAAGAAACTCACAGCAGAACGGAAATAACTTACTGCATC